TATATGGCTATGTGAACATCGTGATGTTCCTACTCCACGCAAAGTTGTGGTTACCCTTAATGGGATGTGAGATTATTAATAAATAAATCAATAAAATAAAGTGTTGTTATCGAATCCTTAACTGTATAATTTATGTAGTTATTCAATATTATTCCCTTGTTTTAAAATAAACACAATCCACTATTATTCACAAATGAGTAATAGTGATTAACGTGTGTTTTGAAATAAACTGAATAGAATTAAAATTCATCAATGTATGTATTTATAGAATTTTCATAAATCAATGACTACTAAGATAACACTACTCATAGTTCCACATCCTTATTAGAAATTTAATATTGTCCATATGTAGGTAGTCATGTAAGAAAAGGTAAAAGTGAGCAAATGAGGTTCCCACTGAAATAAATTATTAATTAAGTGCATTTTTGGGTAAAATTTCACCTGAATATTATAATAATAATAATAATAATAATAATATTAATATTAATATTAATATATTCCGTTGAGTCATGGTCAAAAACCGCCGGAAAATCTCAGAAATAAAATCAACGAAGAACCTAAAATCTCTAGTTTCTGTAGAAAATAAATAACACCTCAAATTCCGAATGCAATAATCTTTCTACGCAATTACCAAAAAGAGGAGATGATAATGGTTGGCACTGGCACGAAATACAAACACAACACAGACACAACTCAAAAACATAATTACATAATAAATTTTGAGTAATTATGGTATTTATGATCAAATAAAATGGATAATACGAAAAAACAGTGAAGCACGAACACAACACATAACAAACTAAACTGTACACACATGAAAAATGGAGACAAATGACAATCAATACTACAAAGTAATATAACAGAGCCATACAACAAACTGCTATTTGTTGCTAGTAAATACATAAAATGCCATAAGAAGCTCTTCATGTTCGGCAACATTTCTAGATCTATACAAACAACACACATCACATAAATAAATAATTCCTCCACTATTCGACCACTTGACANACAAAAAAAAAAAAAAAAAAAACATACCGTCATCCACCATAATTCAAAAACTCTCGAAGTGTTCGCGCAATTTTATGGTTGCTTGTTAACACCAGGTGGTGCAGTTGGCATTGGGAACTTGAATGGAGCTCCAGCATATTGAGGAGTCTCCACATATGGGCTCTGAAATATCGAGCCACAAGGACATTAACAAAAAGGACATATCAGGTTATATTTCAACTCAAAAGGAAATTAAATGATGGAAACATTCAAAAAGAAAAAAATAAATTTGATTTTGGTGATGAAAATATGTTTTCCACATTAAATGTTGGAGGTATTGTGTGAAACCAAGTTTTTTCGGACACATTGACTTATTTATTTATTTATTTAATTTGGTCTCCATTTACTGTTTTTCATGCTTAAACTTTTGTTTCAGAACTTAATTTTTGCGATGAAAATAAGTTTTCCACATTAAATGTTTGTGTTGTGCTCGAAAACCAAGTTTTTCCGGACACAATGACTTATTTTTTTTTATTTTTGTCTCTATTTTCTATTTTCCATGGCTTTTTTTAATACTTAAATTTTTTGTTTCAAAACTTTTTTTTGCGATGAAAATATGTTTTCCACATTAACAAATAATGATGTTACATTTTAGTATTTTTAAGCAGATACCATGAGAGAGAGAGTTCATTTTTCTTAGTTTCTATACCTGTGCCGCTACTGAGTTAGGCTCGTCATTTTTTAAAGATCTTTCATGTGTGTTGGAAGAAGCAGCACTATTACTCGGTTCATTTCCATTTCCACCCAATTTATAATTGCTCAGCTCAGTCGGGAGATTCTCATTGTCGTTAACTGATTTCACTCTCTGGAAAAGAAAAATAAAAAAATCCTATATTTCATTTTTCAATGAAACCCACATAAATGAAATCTATCGAGAGAGTACAGCGCGTATATTTATCTCACCTGGAAAATTTTACCTAGAGTTTTCAAACCCTTTGCGCGCAAACGAAGCTCCTCTTTCTTTGCATTGCTATCTTGCAGAACCTAAAAGGAAAAAAATTATATTCATCAGAATTGATAACAATGATATATCGTGAAAGGACAAGCGAATATTCAAAGAAAGCAAACCAGCTGACAAACGCGGGAGAGGGTATTTTCTATATCGGCTACGTTGAGTTTCCAAAGGGAGTCAATCATTATTTTCTTATGTGATTGCATGTAAGCCTCGAGTTCTTCTTCCGTGTAATTCCCTTCAGCATTAAGCTGCTTTTTCATGTCCTCTTGAAGCTGGATCAAAGCAATTGCTCCTAACGAAACACCACCTCTCAATATTATTAATACCACAAAAAAATATAGATTAAACTCAACTTGTCCTCTGAATCCTACTCTTTACCAAACTTCTCGGTTTTTTTGGCATTTGTCTTTAAGAGAATGAATAGCTCAGATTCAATGAGTTGAGATCGACATAGGGGTATGACAAAATTGAAATTCCAAGATATTGAACAAATGTTTTTTTCAGCGTGAAATTTTATTTTTCTGTGTCTGTATTCTCCTCCTATGCAATTAATGTATGTACTATAACAGAAAATAGATAGTTGATTCTATTCACAATCCAGTCTTCTTTACTTAATTAAAATCAAATTATAAAATGAGCTTATAGCTTATTTGTTTAAAAAAATGTCTGCATTCAGTCTGACTAAAGAAGGAAAGAGTATAAATACGAGACTGGTGC